TCTGAAAAATAAGCTGCCTCCTCAGTAGCCATCACTAATTATGTGGTGCTTACAAGTTCTGTCCTGGGCCACGGCCTGCCTTTTGCAAATCTGTTCTTGTAGACTGGGGGGCTCGGGGGAATTCACGTGCGTTAACACCGTGACACGGGAAAATGAAACAAAGATGTTAGCCTCATTAAGTCAGCAGAAACTCCTACCTCCCTAAAGAGTCTTCTACCTGGAGTTTCTGAATGCAATCTGCTCACTGAAAGCCAACGAAGCACAAATCATGAGATCCAGGAGGAGCCCTGAACACTCTTCCCCACGACGACATCTGTCTACATATCAGAGACACCAGCCAAAGTTCTTGAAAGCAGAAATGGAGGGGAAGGTGTTACCATTCCGGTGTGCGGCTCTACAACACACCGCATAGCATCAGCGCAGAACCAAAATGATTTTTGCTCAGGGACAGTCAGCAAACCAAGACCCAAACACAAGCAGCCCCAGCTCCCTCAGGCAAGTGCTTCCTGGACAGTTTTCGGGCAGCGACCAAACCTCCCCGACAGCTCTTGGCAAAATGCAAAAATGCTGAATTGCAATCAATGGTGAACCCGCATCTGTGCAGACAGGGAAACAGCCTTCCTGCGGCAGGTCTGGGGGACAAGCAGGCTCAGGCTGGAGGAAACCCACCCGCCCCACTCTCCCGGCACAGTCATCTCAAGTTTACCCAGGGCCGGCTCTGTCTTGAAGCTCAATTCTTTGAAAAAATGCAGAGGCTCTAATTCCAGATCAGCCAAAAGCAACCCCCTAATATTGTCCTCTGTTATTTTAGATCCTGGGGATGCCTGCCCCAGGTGGTATCCCCCAAAGACGTTTCCTGGGGCCGAAGGGACAACTCACCTGCCTCCCTGGGTGTCTCTTGGTAAAAAGGCCGCGGTTTGGTGTATTAGGGATCACCAGGCGCTCTACGGACCTGGTGTGGCTTTTTCATTAGGGAGTGTCGCCACGGGACGTCAGAAGCAATTGGTGGATGAGCTGAGTCCCACCACGGAGGAGTTTGGAGGCGGCGAGTCCATTAGCTCTATTAGGGTGTTTTCATATCAGCGAAGGAGGCTGAATTATTCACGAGTGCCTCTTTCTCTAAAGGCTCGGGAAGTGCAGTTTCACGGTGCAGCCTGGCAAGGCCAATGCCTGGCATGGTGGGTTGGGGTGCAGCCCCTGTAGGGGGCTTGCTGGTCCTTCGAGCCCTTCCCCATTGCCTCCACTGCTCCTGTGTGCCAGACACATCACCCTGGGAACCACAGGAGGGAAGCGGCTGGCCTTGCAATTTGTTAATTGAGTGGGCACAGAGCTTGTAGCCCCTAAGGCCCCTAGTTCTGAGCTGTGCCTGCAGAGGGGCAGCCAGGTGCCCATGCAGGGCCCGCCGCCCACAGCAAATGGGGTCTAGAGAGGCCTCCCCTCAGCACACGCACATGCTCCTGGTCCCCTCAGCACAGCTGTGCCCCCATCAGCATATCCTAGACTGCTAGGACCTATAAATGGCAGGACCACACTGCCACTCCCTCCAGGCTGGCCACAGCACACGTCCTGGCCTGGGGTTTGGGAAATGCTCTGAGATGGTACCAAACCAGGCTGCGCTCGGGGGAGAGGCTGAATGCTGAGCCCCGGACCCAGACTTGTGACCTCTAAGGGACTGTGTGTCATTCTAGGATGCAAAGAAAAAAGTCTCAGTGTGACATTATCTTCCAACTAGGAGAGTGTACCAGTGTGTGTGGGATTTTGGATGGAGGTGGAGTTGTCTATCCTGTGACAATTGTGTGTCGGCTGCCACTGGGGGAGGGGTGTGGCACAGGAAATTGGTCCTCCAGACACAGAGTAGAAGGTAGGGGAGACAGGAGCCAAGAGAGGACCTGGGATGTGAGGGTGCCTGGCCCAGGCAGGCCTCAGCAAGTGACCTAGGATGGCTTTTCCCCAAAGACATGAGCCTGCTCTCTCAGCTGACCTCTCTGTATCCCTCGTCCAGCATCCCAAGCCTCACTGCCAGTGAGCCTAAGTGCTCTGCATGGAGCCCCCCTTCCCCCAGGGCACTGCTCTGTCTGTCTGTATGGAGCTCCCCTTCCCCCAGGGCACTGCTGTCTGTCTGCATGGAGCCCCCCTTCCCCCAGGGCACTGCTGTCTGTCTGTATGGAGCCCCCCTTCCCCCAGGGCACTGCTCTGTCTGTCTGCATGGAGCCCCCCT